CGCTTCCGGCCTCTCCGCAGCAAAATGGGGTTGCTGAGCGCCGCATTGGCTTGGTCATGGAGGTCGCTCGTACCTCCATGTTCCATGCGGCTGCCCCCCATTTTCTGTGGCCGTTTGCGGTCCGGTACGCCGCGCATTAGCTCAACCTTTGGCCCCGTGTCTCCTTGCCGGAGACCTCGCCCACACTGCTGTGGACGGGGAAGGTTGGCGACGCGTCGCGTTTCCGGGTCTGGGGTGCTCGTGCCTTTGTCCGCGATACCACCGCGGACAAGCTCTCCCCTCGCGCCATTCCTTGCGTCTTCCTTGGCTTTGTCCCTGACGCGCCTGGCTGGCAGTTTTACGACCCCGCCTCGCGCCGTGTCTTTGCGTCTCAGGACGTCACCTTTGACGAGTCGGTCCCCTTTTACCGCCTCTTCCCCTACCGCACTGCTCCTCGCCCCCCCCCCGCCGCTCTTTCTCGCACCAGGTCCTCCCCAGGTAGACCCCCTCCCCGCGCCAGGTCCTGCTCCTTCAGGTGTCTCTCAGGTAGACCCCCCAAAGTTGAGGTCACTGGTGACTCCGGTCCTGCTGGGAGTGGTGCTGTCCCTGGGGGTGCGGAGCTTGGGGGTGCTGAGTCTGGGGGCGCTGAGCGTGTGGAGCCTGGAGGTGCCTCGTCTCGGGGTACTGCGTCTGGAGGTGCTGCGTCTGGGGGTGCTGAGCCTGTGTGTGCTGAGCCTGGGAGTGCTGCGTCTGGGGGTGAGTTGCCTGAGGGTTCTGGGACTGCTGTTACGCGGTCTCCTTGGAGTAGCCGTCTTCGTCCGCGTGTGCCCCTCACCTCCCAGCAGCTGCACGACTGGTACGGTCGCCGTCGGCTTCCCACTTCTGCACCCCAGGGCTCTCCTACTGGTGGTTCTTCTCCTGGTATCGCTGGTCCCGGAGGTGCTCGTACTGGGAGTACTGGAGCTGCTGGGGCTGGTGGTGGTGCTGCTGGAGGTCCTGGAGGTGCTGGAGGTGCTGGAGCTGCTGGAGGTGCTGGAGCTGCTGGAGGTGCTGGAGCCGCTGGAGGTGCTGGAGCTGCTGGGGGTGCTGGAGCTGCTGGAGGTGCTGGAGCTGCTGGTGGCACTGCTCAGCCGCGCCTGTTCTTTGCTCCGCCGTCTCCGTCGTCTCAGCCACCACCTGACTCTGCACTTCGCCAGGTTCTCAGTCTTCCCTCGTCTACTGGTCTTCCGTTACAGCCTGGCTCACCGCTGCCTGCTCCTTCTCCGTACACAGAGCAGCCTAGTGGCCTTGCAGAGCGTCGTGAGCCTGTGTCGCGGCCTGTCTCCCCTGTCAGTTCCGGTCGTCGTGTTCCTCGTCAGTGCCAGCCGGCTGTCTCCGGCCCTCCCCTTGTAGTTCGTCGTCCTTCCTCTCCTTCCCCGCGTGTTCCTCTGCCGCCTCCCCCTGCGTCCTCTCTGCCTGTCGTTGCTGACCCTGCGTCTGACCGGTTTCGTGCTGAGCACTCTACTGTCACGCGTCTGCTTGCCACTGTTGTCACTGACCCGTCGTTTGAGTCTGCTGCTGCGTCTGCCTTAGTCACTGAGCTTGTTGCCTTTGCTGCTCACTGTCGTCTAGACTACGCCGCCAGTCTTGTTGCTGAGTCTACGTCTGTCTGTCCTCCGTCCGTCGGGGGTGAGTGTGCTCTTGGCACGGACGTCCTTGAGGACAGGCAGGAGGACCTTGAGTGTCTTGCAGCTGCTGCGCCTCATCTCGTATCCATGCTGCTTGCCCCTGAGGGAGACCCGGATGCACCAGACATCCCTACCCCGCGCTCTTACGCTGAGGCGATCGCGGGTGAGTACTCCTCTCAGTGGCAAACAGCCATGGACGCAGAGATGGCATCCTGGAAGTCCACAGGCACCTACGTTGACGAGGTTCCCCCTCCTGGGGCGAACATTGTCAGTGGCATGTGGATTTTCAGGGTGAAGCGGCCGCCAGGTTCTCCGCCTGTCTTCAAGGCTCGTTACGTGGCTCGAGGCTTCAGTCAGCGAGAGGGAGTTGACTTTTTCCAGACCTTCTCCCCCACCCCGAAGATGACCACTCTTCGGGTGCTGCTGCACGTTGCCGCTCAGCGTGACTACGAGCTTCACTCTCTTGACTTCAGCACAACCTTCTTACAGGGCAGCCTGCACGAGGAGATTTGGCTGCGCCGCCCTCCTGGCTTCACTGGGTCGTTCCCTCCTGGTACCCAGTGGAGCCTCCGGCGGCCGGTCTACGGTCTCCGCCAGGCGCCACGTGAGTGGCACGACACACTGAGGACGACACTTGCGGCTCTTGGGTTTGCTCCGTCGACTGCTGACCCGTCGCTGTTTTTGCGCACCGACACTTCGCTGCCGCCGTTCTACGTTCTCGTGTACGTCGACGACTTGGTCTTTGCCACTGCTGACACTGAGGCTCTCGCCCTGGTGAAGTCGGAGCTGCAGAAGAGACACACGTGCACAGACCTGGGTGAACTGTGCAGCTACCTTGGCTTGCAGATCACCCGGGACAGAGCACGCCGCACCATCACACTGACTCAGTCACACATGGTGCAGCAGGTCCTTCAGCGCTTCGGTTTCACCTGGTCCTCAGCACAGGCCACTCCTTTGGCTACAGGTCACTCGCTCTCAGCTCCACCTTCGGACGAGTCCGTAGAGTCGAGTGGTCCTTACCCAGAGTTAGTGGGTTGCTTCATGTACGTGATGACTTGCAGTCGTCCTGACCTTGCGTACCCTCTTGGCCTTCTGGCTCGCTACGTGGCTCCTGGTCGGCACCGAAAGGTGCACATGGATGCTGCCAAGAGGGTACTACGCTACTTGTGCAGTACATCGGGCATGGGGCTCGTGCTTGGAGGACGGGGTGACGTTGTCCTCACTGGTCACTCGGACGCTTCTTGGGTTGACGACCAGGCTACGCAGCGGTCGTCACAGGGTTACACCTTCAGCCTTGGCTCTGGTTCAGTTTCTTGGCGTTCTACACGCTCGTCTTCAGTTCTCGGCTCCAGTTGTGAGGCTGAGATCTACGCCACAGCCATGGCTGCACAGGAGCTTCGCTGGCTCACCTACCTGCTGACTGACTTGGGAGAGCGGCCGCATTCTCCTCCAGTGCTGTACGTCGACAACAAGGCCGCCATTGCCTTGTGTCAGGAGCACAGACTGGAGCATAGAACGAAGCACATCGCTCTCCGTTACTTTCTTGCTCGAGAGCTGCAGCAGCGTGGCCAGCTTCGTCTTGCCTACGTGGCCACTCGGGCCAACACTGCTGATATATTCACCAAGGCACTTCCGCCTGGTGATCATCAGCGTTTCTGCACTTTGTTAGGCCTTGTGCCCACTCTTCCTCACTTGCTGTAGGCTTTGTTTGTACCATGATTTATATGTATTTCTGCATGCTTGTTCTTGTAATTAGATTTCACTGTACTGTTGTTGTTACATATATATCTCTGCATGTGAACTGGCCTTGTGGCCTTCTTGCTTGTGCTCAGACTGCGTGGTGACGTTGTGATCCACCCTGAGCTTGCTTTGCACTTCCTGACTGGTCTTGTGACCTGTTCTCCCCCACTCTGCCTATGGGGGTGTGTCAAACATATGTATATCTATGTTATATTTTGGGTAGGCTTAGTGGGGTAGACACTGTGGGGTACAGCCCCTTAGGTTTATTTTTCCTTGTACCAACCTTCTCGATAGTCGACATCACTCATGCCTAGCTTCTAAGACATTGAGTTCTGCCATGGCGGGGGTGTCGGGCAAGCTCAGCGAGAGCCTCTGTCGTGGCCGTGCGTGCTTACGAGAGAGCACTACGAGCGGCGGTGCTTGATCGCTGAGAGACGTATACCCCCCCCCCCCCCCCCCCCTCCAAAAAAAATTTGATAGTGGGGAAGCAAAGGTGTGGGTGCGGTCCGAGAGAAGATCGTAGGCTCTGATAACCAAGTGTTACGAGTGCAATTGAGCGAGCGAGGATTGCACTATCGAGACAACAATACAATGAGCGAAGAAATGAGCGAAGAATATATAGCGAAACTACGGTGGTAACAGTAACGTGGGAAAATGGGGTGCGCGACGGGCCTAGTGCCGAGGTTTGGGGAACTGTCGAGGCGGAGGTCCGGAGCGCGGGTTACCAGCCGAACCGTGAGGTTGGGTCGCATCGTGAACAGTGGCGGGAATGGTGTCGAGGCGAATGTCGCGAGTGGTAACGGAATATTGTGGGGTGCTGTCAGTGCTGTACACGCTGAGCAGGGACGCGAAGTAAGGAAAAGGAAATTTCCTTACAGCAGCACATGAGTTAGTGCGGATCAGTAAGCGGTATGTTTAGCTAACCACTAGCACTGTAAAGCACCATCCAGTTCCGTTGTTGAGTGAACCAGAATCGCCCTTCCCAGCGCACAATTCCGTTTTCCCATGGAAGTCCTCGACTTCGCATCCCAAGGCAATTTCGAGGTGGTTCGAATCCCCCAAGGTTCTCATCTCGGATCGCCTTCCTGCGAACTTGGGACAGGACAGCCTCCAAAAGTACAAATATCTGGGTCCAGCCTGGCAGCTTTCACGTTGTTTTCACGTTGCTTTCACGTGCTCACCTACTGTCGTGTGTGCGATCAACACTGCCTGCACGTCTCCATCTACGACCTACGATCGCATCTCAATTCCAGTCGGTCAGAGCCAACCGTCCGATCATGTGGGGTGTTCGCACGTTGGGAGCCTCTGAACAAATGCGATGTTCAGATTCGTTCCCCCTCCACCTCATCATCCTGCCTAAGCTTTTGCACGTGCGAAATGCACTTTTGGGCTGGTCCAAGTTCGAAGTTCGGACAGCCCAGGAAGGCGATCTCGCACATATCACTCCATACAGTTGTACTCATACCAGTCAACAGCTCCACTCCCCAGAGTCTTTCGACTTCACCTCGCATTGCGATCTGCTTCGCGAGTGGGCCCCACCATGCGATACCGCCGTGCGAGCGGCATTCTGTCAGTCGTTGCGAATTGTTAAGGAATCACATCGCAATTAGCACCATGCAGCGACGCCTGCCTGTGCTCATGCTGCTGCTGTCCCTGGCACTTCTGCCCCGCGTGTTGCCGTCTCATGCGTCCGCGCTGCCGCGCACGTGCGGAGTGGCGGAGCAGGGGGAGATTGCAGCTAGCGGAGAGGCGGAAAATTCCGGCGCACGCGCAGGGATAGCGCATGTGTGCGATGCGCGCGAGGGGGGAATGCCGGGGAAGGAGGGCGGCGCAGGGGACGACGAAGGAGGAGGTAGTGAAGCGGTAGAGAGCGATTGAAAGGAGTATCTTGACACCTTGGACGAGGCAGAGCGGCAGGTGCACGCTGCGTGACACTGCGGAGAATTTTGGGGGACGGGAATTTGAGCGGCAGGCGCGCTGCTGTCCCCGCGCCCTCCTTATCCGTCGGAACGCCCGATTCCCCCCGCGTCGCTCATCCCCTCCTTTCTCACTCTTCCCTTCCCGCACCTTCTCCCCCTCCCCTTCCTTCCGGCCGCTTCTCCCCGTGGCGCCGTGGGCGCAGATGGAGGCGGGGGAATGTGCGCAGGCGGAGGAGCTGTTCTCGCGCGTGGCGCACGTGGGGTAGGGGAGGGGGAGCGCGGGGGCAGCAGTGGGAACCGCAGGGGATTCGGGGAGGGGGGGGAGATGGCAGCGCGGGAGCGCATGCTGCAGGGGCGGGGGTGGGCGCGCACCCTGATGCAACGCGCTGGCGGAGAGAGACCTGCACGAGGTGATGGGGGAGGGAGGTGCCGAAAAAGGAGGGGGAGGGTAGACGAGAGAGAGAGAGAGAGAGAGAGAGAGAGAGAGAGAGAGAGAGAGAGAGAGAGAGAGATAGAGAGAGAGAGAGAGAGAGAGAGAGAGAGAGAGAGAGAGAGAGAGAGAGAGAGAGAGAGAGAGAGAGAGAGAGAGTGAGAGAGAGGGGGGGGGAAGGGTGCTGCTTAAGGTTTCGCTCTCTTCCTCTCATTCTTTCTATTTCCTGCTCTTTCGCTCTCTTCCTCTCATTCTTTCTATTTCCTACTCTTTCACTCTCTTCCTCTCATTCTTTCTGTTTCCTGCTCTTGCCCGCACTCCCACTCGCACCAACTCAATGATGACCTCGTCCGTGTTGAGAGATTGTTTTGTTCTCACTTGATTTCTGCACGTGCGGATTACGATGGTCTCATTGCATTGCTTGGCCGTTACAGGGACCCACTCTCTCCAACCATCGCTTATCTTTCCCACTTCGTGTCCAAAACTCTTTCCACTCACTCCTTCCCTTGTGCCTGTGCTCAGAACGCGTGGATGAGAAGAGAGCATCCCAAGACCCTTTCCTCATACCAGCGATTCAACGCCACAGCAGACCAATGGGAGAGCGCCACGTGGCCTCTCATGCCTGGTGGCGCCATGTTAGATGATGTGCTGGCGCTGATAGCAGCGGCAGATGTAATTGGCGAGCGCACGCAATGCCACGTGGATGGCATGCTGAGGAACCGAGTGCAGGTGGGTGGGTGGGGTTGGGTAGGGGTGAGTGGATATGCGTTTCGAGACAGGTGTACGATTTCGAGACAGTCAAGAACTACCCCGTGCACCACAAGTGCGTGGGTGCGTGGGCGGGTGGGTGGTTCCCTTTCCTGCACGTCACTCGCATGCTGCCACCCTTCCATCACACCCCTCCTGTGTATTGGTCCTGCTATATTGGAAACTCTTTTGAGAGTTCTCACTTTTGAGTAGCGTTTGAGAATCCTCAAAGGGGCTTTTCCTTCTTCCTATTTTTCTTTGGATTGCACTCCCGCGCAGTGGCCCTCACCAGAGCTACTCTCTTGGAGAAAGTAGAGGCATTTGCCGAGCAGTAGTGCAACTCAACTTGCATGCCGCAACCCAAAGACACGAGCCGCCACCGCCACAGCAGCAGCAGCCGCAGGAAAGCGAGAATATCAGGGAGCATTTCACGGAGGAGTGTGGAGGGTTGCACCGAATGGCTGCGTCCAGCTGCTCACACCCCTGCCTGCTCGCCTCTACCTGCCCTCACCAGCCGCCCTGCTCTGTGCCGCACGCCCTCCACGCTGCCAGGGAGGCCTTGTTCAGCGAAAAATCCGGCTGCCCGTAACGGAGCAGAACGTGGAGGTAGCAGCGGAGTGGTTGGGTGCCAAAGGTTGTGGGGTGCACCGGCAGGGGGATGGCAATGCTGCTTCAGCTGGGATGGGGGAATGCAATGGAAGTGCCGCTGTGGGGGATTGTTTTGAGGAAAAGGAGAATGGTGGGCGAGATAGGGATCAAAGCGGATGTAAAATTGGAGGAGCGAAAGACATCGGCAGAGAGTGGCATGATGATGACGGGGAAGGAGTGAGCAACGGCACGAACACCACATCCCCCAGCACTTGCTGCAAGCATCCACCGTCCCTCTCCCCACCGCATGTGCTTTTCTCGGCACATACGTAGCGTAGGGCCGAGAAGTAATGAGTTATTCGCAATGCTACTCACGCCGGAACCTCCGCCTCGCCTGCCCTCCAACCGCCTCTCCTGCACACACACCTTCACACCGCGGAAATGTATACTCAAGCTTGAACTAATCGATCATGGTTTCATTAGTGTGCACCCATATCCACATGTGTTGGAACAACGATGCCATGTCTTCTATTTCGTCAAGTTTTGGAAATACTAGCAGAATATACTCTATAATTTGAGAGAACATTAGACATACAAACAAGTTAGCCAGAATTGAGGCAATTTTACTAGGGGCAATCAGGTTTATAAGGAATAGTGCATGTTATACCGATCAAAAAACATGAAATGCTTTCCTAAACTGAGCCATGCTGAGGAGGACCTGACGTGGAAGTTGCCTCGCGAGGCATGACTTGGAATCGAAGCGGATCTCGAAGCTTGACACTCGAATCACGTCACGACGACGGCTCACAAACACCAATTCGGACAAACCTTACAAACGAATCTGGCCAATCAGTAGGTTGCGTTGGGACGAAAGCAAAAATCTAGTCGTTGTGCGATCGCTGGTGGCCCGTGCTGTGCCGTGCCCATCTCTCAAGGTCCAATTGGAAACGCGTGGGTTCCCTTTTGCGCCCCCAACGTTCCGAGCCTCCACCAGAAGCAGCCAGGCCAGGGCTCCATTTTTTGCGGCGCTCTCCAGCTGTGGCAGGCTCTCAGCAAAATTCTTTTTTGTCAACCAGTCGTGGTTCGGTATGGCTGGCTTGGTTCTCCAACGATTCTCATTTATCACAGTTGCAAGGTCGCGTTTCGAGCCGAACCACCCTGGCGAACCACAACCACCAACTTCCGCCACGTAAATATCATGGGGGCAACTTCGCTGCCAATGCACACAGCCCTCAATGCTGCAGGATTCTCTCGCCCAGCCGCCACTCCTCCGCAACTGCGGCATTTGATGTAAACTGCCTGGAAGTCCTTTTGAGAGATTTCAAACTCTAGGGGCTTCGGTTGGCGGAAGGCAGCGCCGTGCCGTTGATGACATCCGGGCGGTGGAGCTTCGACTAGTGGTTTGGAAAATGGCAAAAGGAGATCAGGTGTGGAGCCACGGTAACCGTCAAGTCTTCGTCCGAACCTGTTTTGGCCCAGAATTGCACCTTGCCTCAAACCACCCCCCCATCAATTCAACATCGTACAAGCCACCTCGTCTGGACAGCTCTTATCTCCTACAATTTCTCACTCCCCGTTTGGCACATTCTCATGTTTGGACGAGGCCATTTTGGACCTTGTCAATAATTCTAACATTCACTCACTGGTCTGCTTAGCTCCTACTTCCATTTGTTGTGGCAACTCCTGTTACTTTCAGCATCGAGCCTCAGCATCTTTAATTAGAGTTACTTGGCCACGGCGTTACGCGCCGATCCTATGACGGCGCCCTCTAGCGATGCATACGTATCGCCACGAGGCCTCATGACGCCAACTTGCCTCACAGAAAGAAATCGCCGCCAGCAGATCAAGCACATCTTGAACTTGTCACCGCGTCCGATGAATCGCCACCGTCCATCTGCGTCGCAAATACAACAAAACGGCTCGCGCTTCTCCCTCTTTCCTCCTCCAATCTACATCCTCGTCTCGCTCCTCCTGTACCATGCGCTTCTAGCCCCTTCCCACGCCTTCCCTGATCTCCCCCCGCTTGCCCGTGGAGCCCCTGTCGCCCGGCATCCATCGTCGACCGCCACCGAAGCATCTAGACACATTCCTCTAGAAGCAGACCAAATACAGGTTTTAGATGCTTCCGCGTCTTCCGTTCCTCCCATCAGCGCCGCCATTGCAGGTCGCGGTACACCCACAACCGCACCGGTAGCCGCCATTCCAGCCACCAATCCCGCCGCAAAGGAAGGGGCGGTTGCGATTCAGTCAGATGGCTCTCGTACTGCCGAGAATCCTTCTCAACTTCCGATTCCGCAGTTGCCGCCGCAGACCAGTGCGGCGCCGTGGGTACTGTCTCCGCATATAGCGGACGCGCAGGCTGGTGAAGTGGTCCGCGCTGCGGGGAATGAGGGAGGGGAGGCGGGAGATGCAGCAGCAGTGGCGGGGAAGAGCGTGTCGATGGTGCCGATGGTGCCGATGGTGCCGATGGTTCCGATAGTGCCAGAGATGTCGCCGAGCGAGCGATGGGTGCGCGACGCCCTGGTCGCCGTGCGACAGTACCTCATCCTGCCCGACGGCAAGAAGTGGCCGGTAAGATTGCGTTGCGAGATGCGGGCTCTGCGAGTGGCACGTGTCCGAACGGATCCGCATTGATGGGATCGTCGGAGGTCTGGGTAGAAACTAGGGCGCGTTTGATCTACCAGCCCCTGCACACGTGCATTCCGATTCCGCCCTCCACCGACCCTGGCCAGCTTGTCCTCTCCACCCCTCATCAACTAACATCGCTCCTCACTCCTCTGCCGTTCCTCCCGTCCGCCTCACCCCATCCGTCCCCTCCATCCCTCGATCACGCGTCTCATCTCCCCCCTCCCATTGCACCCGCCTTCCGCTCCCCTCCTTCCCCTCTCTGCTCCGCGTCCCCCCAACAGCCCTTCGAGCCGAACGCCAAGGTGGCGGCGGCGTCGGTGCTGAGCGTGGTGGGCGCCGCGCTGGCGAACGCGGGCGGCGTTGGCGGCGGGGGGCTGTTCGTACCGCTGTTCAATCTGCTGCTGGGCTACGACGCCAAAACGTCCACCGCGCTCTCGAAATGTACGCGCACCGGGGGGGGAGGCAGATGGGGGAGACGGCCGGAAAGGGGAAGGGGAGCAAGGAAGAGTTGGACAGTGCGGGAATGGCGTGGTGATCGGGGGAGCGGGAAGGGGGAAGAGTAACAGGAAGGAAGGGAAGCTGGGAGCGGTGGGATGCCGAGGAGGGTGCTCCCTGGTCATATACAAGGATCGGTTTCGATCCACCTGTCACATTCTTCCCCCACCTCATGCGCTTCCGCCCTCCCCTTCCCCCCCTCGTCTCGCCTTGCCTTCCTCCCTCCCCCTTGCTCATCGGTCCCTCCTTTGCCACGTTCTGCCACGTGTACAGCAATGATTATGGGCGGCGCCATAGCGAGCGCGTGTTTCAATGCGGGTCTGCGGCACCCCACCAACAACCACCGCTCTCTCATCGACTTCTGTGAGCCGCTATTCCCTCCTGCATTCCCGCCATTACTGCTCCATTACACCCATGCCCAGCGTTCTCCCCGCATGCCATGGAGCTCTCTTTGCCGCTCGTTCCGCCTCGTCAATACCCGAATCCAGGCGAAGCGAGTTTGCAGAGCGCCATCCACCCGCGTGACCAATGGCGCTCTGCACACTCGCTCTGTCCCCTCTCTCCTCAGCTTCACATTCCGAAACTGTCCACCCCCCTCACCATTCCCTCTTCCTTCCTCTCCCTCCCTCCCTGCCCCCCTCTCCCCCCAACTCCCACCGCTCCCCCGCTCCCTTTCCCTGTCGTGCTGCGCGGTGCATGTGGCGAGCAGCGATCGCGCGGCTGATGCAGCCGATGTTGCTGCTGGGCATCAGCATTGGCGTCATGTGCAACGTCGTCTTCCCGCCATGGCTCATCACCGTCATGCTCTGCGTCCTCCTCTCCTGTACGCGCCCCACCCCCACGCCTCTCTTACACCTTTCCGCACGCCCTCTCTCAACCCTCCCACAAATCCAACGTACCCTCAGCCATTGATCCCTGCCGCGTGCCCTTCCCGCTCGCTCGCTCTTCCCTTTTCCTACTGCACAATGCTCCTGCTGCTCTTGCAGCTGGCGGTGCTAGTGTTTACACCAACACCTCACTCTATCCAGACCAGATCCCTTGTATCAACTCTTTTCTCTCATCACTCCTCCACTGGCCAACAATAACGCCCCCGCCCATCCCCCCACCGCGCGTTGCCAGTCATGACGTACAAGACCCTGGGCAAGGGCATTGCCACGTGGAGGAAGGAGTCGCGCGTCAATTCGGTACGCCTCGCAGCCATACCTGGGCTCCTTCCCGTCCCTTCCCTCCCTGCCAAACATGCGCTTACTCACGGCTAAATACGGGAAGGGAGAGATGAAAGGGAAACTGGGGGAACAGACGAAAGGGAGAGGAATTTCTTGTGAGACGTCTCAGAAAACTAGATGAAAGGGAGACGAAAGAACGAGGATTTGGCAGGAAGTCACAGCACGGCGCACTAGCTTCCCTCGTTGCTAACTGACGCCACCTATCCTCTGCGTCTTCCTATTCCCCCCTCCTCACTCCCTTCCCCTCCCCGCCTCTGCCCCGCCCTGCCCTGCCGTCAGGCGCTCTCCCGAACATCATCCGTGTCATCCCATACCTCCCGCCGCCCAACCACACCTGGTACGCCCCGCACGCGCCACTCCCCGCACGCCCCACTCCTCGCACTCTCTCATTTGCACAACCCACCAATTTTTTTTCACCTCCTCACCTCCACGAGGCCTCCTTTCTCCCGCATGCATCCCACTCCCCCTTCCCTTCCTCTCCAACCCTTGCCTTACTCCCCTCAGGCTACCGCGGCCCTCACACAACAGCAGCAGCAGCAGGGGGAGGCAGGTCGGAGCAGCAGTACAGGAGCAACAGGCACAGCAGAGGCGACGCATCGCCCTTCTCGACTCTCCCCAACGGCCACTCGCACTCATCAACTCTCTACAATCCCCCACACTCCCACCACCACCACCACCACCACGAGGCCGCGTCTCTCAAGCCCACCATGTCACTCGACTCAGCCTTTGCTACCCGCTCCTTTGCTGCCGCCCCTCCACCGTCCGCGCTGCTGTCCCACGCGTCCCTGCACTCGTACACGAGCCTGGACTCGGAGACTGCGTTGACCGTGCATGACTTGGTTGACCCCACCAGCCTGCCAGCTCCCGTCGAGGAAGAGGAGGGGCGGGGGGTGCATGCGGTGGGGGAAAAGGGGCGAGAGGGGCAGCACGGGGGAGATAGCTGTGGGGAGGGGCGAGAGGGAGATGTGCCAGGAGGAGGAGGAGGCGCGGATGCTGCGGCAGATGCGGTGGAGGATGGGCGGGCAGGGGCGGGCTGTGCTGGAGCCGGTGGGGACGGCATTATTGATGGTGGTGGTGGTGCTGCTGCTGCTGCTGCTGCTTCGGGTGTTGCTGCTGGTGGTGGTGAGGATGATGAGTTACGGAAGCCGCTGCTGGGCCGATTGAGGGTGAACGAAGATGGCGAGAGGCAAGCTGCCACGCCCCGCTCCCAAGTACGATCCCATGCCACATTCTCTCCCCTCGCTTCCTCTTGCAATCCTTCCCCCCTTCTCCCTGTGCTCTCGTTCTCTCCGCTCGTATTCACCCCCTCTCCCGTTCACCCTCCCTCCCGGTCACCTTCCTTCTCGTGCCTTCTGCCTACGATATACACGAGACTTACAGCGTCGCTCCCCCCATGTCTCTCCCGCAGTGCCAAGCGCAAGCACCGCCAGCAGCAGCAGCGGGGGGCCGGCGGCGGTGGCTAATGGGGGGCCCGGACGCAGTGGCAGTGGTGGAGATGGTGCTGGTGTGGGCCTTCTTCCTCGTCGTGCAGATCGTCAAGTCCTCCACGCCCGACTGCAGCATGCAGTACTGGCTCCTCACTGCTGCCCAGGTCAGCCTCACCCGCACCCGCACCCTCACCCACACCCTCACCCGCACCCGCACCCGCACCCGCACCCGCACCCTCACCCGCACCCTCACCCGCACCCGCACCCTCACCCGCACCCTCACCCGCACCCGCACCCTCACCCGCACCCGCACCCGCACCCTCACCCGCACCCTCACCCGCACCCGCACCCTCACCCGCACCCTCACCCGCACCCTCACCCGCACCCTCACCCGCACCCGCACCCGCACCCGCACCCTCACCCGCACCCTCACCCTCACCCTCACCCTCACCCGCACCCGCACCCGCACCCTCACCCGCACCCTCACCCACACCCTCACCCGCACCCGCACCCGCACCCTCACCCGCACCCTCACCCTCACCCGCACCCGCACCCGCACCCGCACCCTCACCCGCACCCTCACCCGCACCCTCACCCGCACCCTCACCCGCACCCGCACCCTCACCCGCACCCTCACCCGCACCCTCACCCGCACCCTCACCCGCACCCTCACCCGCACCCGCACCCGCACCCGCACCCTCACCCGCACCCTCACCCGCACCCGCACCCGCACCCTCACCCGCACCCTCACCCGCACCCGCACCCGCACCCTCACCCGCACCCGCACCCGCACCCTCACCCGCACCCTCACCCGCACCCTCACCCTCACCCGCACCCTCACCCGCACCCTCACCCTCACCCGCACCCTCACCCACACCCGCACCCTCACCCGCACCCGCACCCGCACCCTCATCCGCACCCGCACCCGCACCCGCACCCGCACCCGAACCCGCACCCTCATCCGCACCCTCACCCGCACCCTCACCCACACCCTCACCCGCACCCGCACCCGCACCCTCACCCGCACCCTCACCCGCACCCGCACCCGCACCCGCACCCTCACCCGCACCCGCACCCGCACCCTCACCCGCACCCTCACCCGCACCCGCACCCGCACCCGCACCCTCACCCGCACCCTCACCCGCACCCGCACCCGCACCCTCACCCGCACCCTCACCCGCACCCTCACCCGCACCCTCACCCGCACCCTCACCCGCACCCTCACCCACACCCGCACCCGCACCCGCACCCACACCCGCACCCGCACCCTCACCCTCACCCGCACCCTCACCCGCACCCTCACCCGCACCCGCACCCACACCCGCACCCTCACCCTCACCCGCACCCGCACCCGCACCCGCACCCTCACCCGCACCCTCACCCTCACCCGCACCCGCACCCGCACCCGCACCCTCACCCGCACCCTCACCCGCACCCTCACCCGCACCCTCACCCGCACCCTCACCCGCACCCGCACCCGCACCCGCACCCTCACCCGCACCCTCACCCGCACCCGCACCCGCACCCGCACCCGCACCCACACCCGCACCCTCACCCGCACCCGCACCCTCACCCGCACCCGCACCCGCACCCGCACCCTCACCCGCACCCTCACCCGCACCCTCACTCGCACCCGCACCCGCACCCTCACCCGCACCCGCACCCGCACCCGCACCCGCACCCTCACCCGCACCCTCACCCGCACCCTCACCCGCAACCCTCACCCGCACCCTCACCCACACCCGCACCCGCACCCGCACCCGCACCCTCATCCGCACCCGCACCCGCACCCGCTCCCGTACCCGCACCCGCACCCGCACCCGCACCCGAACCCGCACCCTCATCCGCACCCTCACCCGCACCCGCACCCGCACCCTCACCCGCACCCTCACCCGCACCCGCACCCTCACCCGCACCCTCACCCGCACCCGCACCCTCACCCGCACCCGCACCCGCACCCTCACCCGCACCCGCACCCTCACTCGCACCCGCACCCTCACCCGCACCCTCACCCGCACCCGCACCCGCACCCTCACCCGCACCCCCTCACCCGCACCCTCACCCGCAACCCTCACCCGCACCCTCACCCGCACCCTCACCCTCACCCGCACCCGCACCCGCACCCGCACCCGCACCCGAACCCGCACCCTCATCCGCACCCTCACCCGCACCCGCACCCGCACCCGCACCCGCACCCTCACCCGCACCCTCACCCGCACCCGCACCCGCACCCTCACCCGCACCCTCACCCGCACCCTCACCCGCACCCTCACCCGCACCCGCACCCGCACCCGCACCCTCACCCGCACCCTCACCCGCACCCTCACTCGCACCCGCACCCGCACCCTCACCCGCACCCGCGCCCGCACCTGCACCCTGTAGTCCTCCCACGGCCTTGGCCCTCTGCCTTTGTGCGTTCTTCATGATAACTGGGGCTGCCCCTTCTGCAAGTCAGCCTTGCGAGCACACTAGGTGCACTCTGGGCTCACCTGCCTCACCAGCAGTGCTCCACCCGCCAGCCATTTCACTTCCATGCTTGCCTGCTCTCACCTCGTCAACGCACCCTCCCGTGCCCACCTCATTGACTGAACCCCCTTCGTCTTCCCCCCTGCCCTGCCCGCACGCCCCCCACGCCAGGTGCCGGTGGCGCTGTTTGCGACGCTGCTGACAGGGTGGAGGGCTCGAGGGCGCAAGCTATGGTGGGAGCCCGTGGACACCTCCCGCGCCTACCTGCGCCTCTCCGCACCCTCCACCCCCACCGCCGCTCATGCTGCGCGCATTCCCACCCACGCCGCCACCACCACCGGCGCTTCAGCTGCTGCGGGTGCAGCGGCTGCTCTGTCTGTGCCGGGGTCTCCAGTTCCCCCGGGCACTCCGCGCAGCATGCAGCCACGCTACGACTTTGCGCGGGAGCTGACGTACCCGCTGGCGTCGCTGCTGGCGGGGTGCATGGGCGGGCTGCTGGGCATTGGAGGCGGCATGGTCATGGGACCCGTGCTGCTCGAACTCAACATTCCGCCACAGGTGAGAGGGAGGGAGGGAGGTGACGGAGGGGAGAGGGGGAGGGGAGCTAGCGAGGTGGGCTGTGTTGTGCCGTGCAAGGCCTCCACCACTGTTGAGTCTTCACCTCCCTGTTCACCTACTCCCTGCTGGATGGAAACAGAATGAGAAACGTGCTTGCTCTTCCTCCCAACTGGCCTGCTTCATTTCTCCTCCCCCCTCCTCCGCCATCTCTAACCCCAGCTCCCTACCTCCCACTGCTCCTTGGCCCCTCTCTTTCTCACCAGGTGACATCAGCAACGTCCACGTTCATAGTGGTGTTCTCCTCATCGCTCTCTGTCGTAGAGTTTTACCTGCTGGGCCGCATCCCCCTCAAGGTCGCCTCCTACTTCTGCCTGCTCGCCATGGTCGCCGCGGTCTCCGGCCTCTCCATCGTGCGCTCCATAGTCATCCGCTCGGGCAAGGCCTCTATCATCATCTTTGCACTCGCGTCTGTCATTGGCAGCAGCGCCATTGTGCTGGGGGCCATTGGCGGCCTGCATGTGCTCAACGACTGGAAGCACGGCGAGTCCATGGGCTTCCGCCCCCTCTGCAACCAGGTCTGGTGATCCCCATGCCTGCGTCGGTCCGGCCGAGCCTTCTGTGAAGGTTCACGGGAGGTTGTGCTTTTGAGGAGAGTGCGATGACATGCAGAGGGCCGTCGCTAACACTGGTGGCAAACTCAAGCTGTGGCTTGCATCCCCCAACCAATGCTTGGCAAAGCCATGCCCCATGCCTATTTGTCATGTCTAATTCAGCGCTTCAGTTAGGTCCTAGTACGCTTGGTGCGATGGTTTACCAGACAGCCCCAGCCCAGTCGCCTTGAGCAGCAGCAGCAGCAGCAGCAGTGCTGCTGCTGCGTAGATAGCAGCAGCCATGGTCAGTCTCGTCTGCGTACATGGTGGTGTGATAAGCTGAAGCATACATACCGTAACTTTGTCTTTGACTTGTAGAAGAATGGTAGGCCCGTGCTAGGCCCACATTATACCTCGTCTTGTACCGCCGGTAAGAGGCCTTCACTCTTACGACTGCTTGTGATGTACCTTTTCACCAGGCCCTCAGATATCAGGCTTTTTACCCTGATTTGACTTTTTTTCAGCCTTTTTTTCTGTACCAACCCTGAACTTTCAGCCTTTTTTATTTTGTAACCCTGAAATTTCAGCCCTTTTTTATGAAAGGGGACTGATTTTTCAGCCTTTTATCGAACGTATACACTGAAAGCAGATTCCGCATCCTTCCAACATTTCGTATAAAAAACATAAATATTAAAAAACATTTGCCTTAGACCTAGAACTGTCCCAGTCGTTACAGTAATTACTGCCGAAGGGGAAGGCCCCCGGTTCAGTTCCCTGTATCGTCATATCTGCTTGGGCCTAAACCTGTAATCACACTTGTTGATCATATGAGTTAAGCCTTTTTTTTTAGGAACCCTGAGATTTCTGGCTTTTTTCTTTAGGAACACTGACGATCAGCCTTTTTTTTCACAGGAACCCTGATGAATCTGAGGGCCTGCTTATCACCAATGGTTTACACATTGCTCTCTAGATTAATGGTACAAGACTTTCAATGTTACTGTGTTAGTCGGTAGATCAAGCAATGCAGAATGACACCACTAACGCGCCAACAAGTACCGTATGTTGGAAAACAGTTGCAAGTTAGAAATGAGAAAGAGGGGTTTTACTAGCAAGCAGTTGAGTACATATAGGAAACCCTAGATTGGGCTGTACTCACTATTGAGTACCCCACTGCAGGCTAGACAAATACAACATATTCTGACACACCCCCATAGCCAAAGTGGGGTGTAATCAGCACAAGCAAGTAAAGCAAAAACAAGCTCAGGGTGGATCACAATGTCACCACACATTCTGAGCACAAGTACAAGGCCACAAGGCCAGTTCACATGCAGAGCAATAGTTCACAAATATGTATATTTTTAAAAGCTGTAACGCTTTTCAAAATTATGTATTTTGAAAGCGAAGCTGCTTGTAATGTAGGATTTGGCAGCGTCGAGCCGCGCTAAACGCCCGTTTTGGAGTACAAAACGTGGGCTGGAGGTCATTTCCCTCCACCCACGTCTCTCATTTTCAAACGGTTTAGCCGATTTTCATTCTCAACTCTCGTCTCCCACTCTCAAGCTGGCGAAGTTGAAGTCTCTTCCCCGATTTCAATCCCCGTCGACTTTACTCTCTGACATTTTCGCTCACAACGCAGCAACCATGGCACTTAACGACGGCGAGGGTAATACCGCTACCGCCTCTGTTCGACCCGAGTCCGGAAGAAACGCACGCGAAATTGCCGGCGATCGTCCTAACAAGCGTCGGGCAGACGACGGGGAAATTTCCCCGACTGGCGTCGACGTACTGCTGGGCGCGACCGAGGCTCACGCCCCTGGAGTCGAGGCACACGCCCCTGGAGTCGAGGCACACGCCCCTGGTGTGCCTCGAGCCCCTGTGGCCCCTCAGGCGCTGGCCGCGACAGAAGGCGCCAAGTCGGCGCCAACCAGCGCGGCTGGCACCCCGCGTCCGCGTCAGCGCCGCAGGCCCGTGGGCCCTGACGCGCCTGTGGGCCCTGACGCGCCTGTGGGGCCTGACGCGCAAGTGGCGCCAAGCTTCACTGCAGCCCAACTGCAGCAGCTTTTGTCCCTGTTACAGCAGCAGGCCCCTGCTGTTACGGAAGAAATCGCTACACCGAACACGACTTCCGTTTCTGCTAAAAGCGAAAAGGCGAAAACGGAGTCTGTGAAGCGCGCTCGCACGACAAAAACCGGAAGGGGCGAAGACACACGCGCCGTTGCCGCTCCAGTCATGAACAACTCCATCGACAGCGACAATGAAGACGACGACGATGGTGAGGCACATGCCTTAAATGCCGCTTTTGCACCCGTTGAGCAACTCCCCCCACTCCCGTCTCCCAATCCCACTCTAACCGCCGCCTCGTTCAAGAACGCCGCCGTGCGCGAGCAAGCCGAGGTCCTGGAACACCTGCGGGCATACCTGAAGCATGCAGAGCACAAGGTGCGACACAACGAGCCGGAAAGCGCCCTCGAATACCTTGGCGAAGCTTTCACACTTATCACCAACCGCTTCAAGCTACTCCACGTCGCCGACTACACCAACTTCCGCACGACAAATCGCTTCAAGCTCTACGAAGATAAGAGCGTCTTCACCTCACGCCCGTTCAAGCAAGCCGTCGCGGACGTGGCGGCGATGGAGCGCGCACAAGGCAATTTCAACCGTACCCCACGTGGCGGAGGGCGCGGGCCCATGGCATTTGGCAACAAGCGCGGCCCCCCATTTGACGGCAATGGAAGGAGCTTTCGTGGCTCATGCTTCCGTTGTGGGCAGCCAGGCCACATGGCCAATGCTTGCCCGGAAAATGGGGGAGGAGCCCAAGGGCCGGCACCGGTGGTGTGAACGCCCTAGGGGGCGGTGCCGAGAGGCTTGAATGGAGATGATGGCACTAGGGGGTGCAAAGGCCGCTGGCCTATCCCATAGGGGATGTTAGAAAGGCCGCGGGCCTACCCCAAGGCAAGGGGTATAGGACTAGGAGTCCTAGGTGAACATGTGATTGCAAGTAATGCTTGTATGCTCTTTTGAATGAATGGGAAGGCCTAATGGGCAAAGTTGTTGGACTCGCTTGAAAAAAAAAAAAAAGGAGCATGCGCTCTTGAGGTGTGGAAGAACCTGAAGCGGGGAACACCTATACGGCATGGAAGCCTACGGTACATGCGAACAAGAGAGAAAGAGATAGAGAGCAAAAAAAAAAAAAAAAAAAAAAAGGGAAGTGGCAAGATGTGCGGGCTATGCAAGCCCTGAAATGCAAAGGAATCACGGGTGAAGGGGGGGGGAAAAAAAAAAAAAAAAAAAGGAAAAAAGGAAAGAGTGGGTGTGGGACTTGGGGTCCCATGATGCCAAGAGCACACGCCATAATGCAAGACAAAGGGTGGCCTACCAAACATGGAAGGCAGCAAATGGCCATCCGAAGAGCATGCGGCACGTGAAAAAAAAAAAAAAAAAAAAAAAAAGGCAAGGGCCAAAGCGGCCGAACGAAGGGGCTGCTCCGGTGGAGCACCTCCGGTTGGGCACATCTCAGAACACCAGAGTGCAGGTGTAGGCACGCAAAGGTCTCACGAACCACAAAAAAAAAAAAAAAAAAAAAAAAAAGAGAGAGAGAGGGAAGGGGAAGGGGCGTCGGCATGAACATTTGCGGGCATTGGATCTAGTTAATCGTACGCACAACCTACTAGCCAAACGCCCCTGCTTAAAAGAAGCCCGTCCCGAATTACCGAGTCGGATGGTAGAGCGTCACCACTCTCACGCGATTGGTCCAGAGTTTCACGTGGGTTTCGACAGGACTGGCTTCCGATTCCCTAACCGAACCGCCGCTGGGGTTTTTCCGAACCTACAATTTTCCGTTGACTTCCTTGTGTAATTCGAGTCTTGAGCTTTAACGAAGCACGCCCCATGTTGCCCCCACACCCATGGTCCACTGGCTACAGATATGCCGGGGGGTGGAACGATCGAGGGGGGTGGCCCCTATGAGTTCGCGGTCACTGACAAGCTCGTCACGACCATGCGTGGGCGCCTGCGCACGGCATTTCCATGGTGGAGCTCGTGGTGCGAGAGCAGTTTCATACTCTCGGTGATCGCCAATGGCTACTGGATGCCATGGAAGCATGGACCACCCACGCCGTTCCGGCAAGACAACCACGCGGGAGCGCTAATCCATTCCACGTTCACCAAGCAGGCAATAACCGAGCTTCTCGAGAGTGGTGCGGCCACACCCGCCCCCGCGGAACAACAGCTATGTATCAGCCCGCTAAATGTGGTGGTTCAAAGAGAAAAGTGCCGACTGATTCTTGACCTCCGAAGGGTGAACCAAAATTTGTGTATCCCCAAATTCAAGTACGAAGGACTGAACCGGGTGGCAGAGCTCGTTCATGAAGACGACTGGATGTTTGCAGTCGATTTAAAATCAGGATACCACCACGTTGACATCCACCCTTCCTACTGGAAGTTCCTCGGGTTCCAATTCGATGGGCGCTCGTACGTCTTTCGATCTCTGCCATTCGGGCTGGCGACAGCCCCGTTCGTTTTCACACAGCTCATCAAGCAGCTCGCCCGTCGTTGGCGGGCTCTCGGGGTGCGAGCCATCCCTTACGTCGACGACATCCTTTTTCTGTGTCGCACGGCAGCAGAAGCGCGAACCACGGGTCAGATGGTGGTGCAACTGGTTATCAATTCCAAGAAGTCGCACTTGCAACCCACCCAGCAGCTACGGTTTTTGGGTGTCGAGCTGGATACACAGCGCGGCCAGTTCTCCATTGGTCCCGAGCGGCGAGCATCGTTACATTCAACCATTCGCGAATTATGCATGGCTGGCAAGGCCGAACGCAAAGTCCCGATCCGCCACGCAGCCAGAGTTACCGGCATGCTCGCGTCGATGTCGCTTGCCATCGGCGCAACCGCGCGCGCATTCAGCCAGAATCTACTACAGACCATTCAGGATGCCCCTTCCTGGAACAGCAAAGTGCAGTTGGTCCCTGCGGTCATCGAAGAGCTCGAGTTTT